CTTCTTGACTATCTTAAAAATACGCCTCTTGTCTCTGCTGGCAGTAGTACCTGGCTGACACCTGACCTCTTTTAAAATCTCTATATCCTTTCCTAAATTTACATCCCTTACGATTGAATCACCAACCAGAAGGTGACTTCTCTTTTTGCATACCTTGCTCTTCTTCTGCGACTGATGTGTGATACCTGGTTCCCCATTTCGCCTTTCCGAAGTAAGTTCTTCATTTTGGACCACGATCCCCTGCTTATTTGAATCATCATTATCACAACTACCTTGACCTTATCACAACTACCTTGACCTTAAGCCAGGAAAATACTGGCAAGCTTTTGTTATAGCATCAATCCTTTCCCCAATGCCAGGTAGACAGGAATTACCACTGTAGTCAAGGAAATATAAAAAAATTATCACTTGGACAACTGGCCGTATCTTTGTACTGGTATGAAGATGGCTCCACCTAGTGGTGGCTACAGAACTAACTTTTTTTACAGTTTTGTCTGATAGCTGTATTTATATCCTCAATTAAGCCCATTCTTTAAAATAGCTGGGATTAATTTCCATCACCATTTCTTGGGGCAGCAGATTCCATATTTCAGTTGTGAAAAAAAACGTAAGCTTACACAAGGATAGCAGAACCAATTGTCAGGACGCGCATTTGATAGATAGAAACAGTTCTTGCAAAGCTGAAGTTCATCCAACTGAGGGGGGAAAAAGAAAAAGTACTTGTCATATGTTCTGAAATGCTGGAATGCAGAACTAAAATTGTAAAGAAAAATCCTCATTTTCTTTGAAAATTTATTATTTTTTTCATGAAAAAAACCACAAAAGGGAGAAAAGAGAAGGAAAAATTAAGTAAAAACAGACCTTTCCATATCATATTATATATAAAACATATTTAGTCAAATTTTAAAGCAAATCATTAAACTTTGACAAACCAAAGTAGTAACCATTGGCCTTTCCATTCTGCCAACCTAGTACCAGTTTATTAAAAGAAACTGGGTACTTATCCATAACTTAGGATCCAAGTCAAAAGTAATTCTATTTTCCGAAAACTGAATAAATTCTCTGCTGTCAATCATATATAAATAAATTCTCTGCTGTCAATCATATATGATTGACAGCATATTGACAGCACTATTCTTCGAAGGTAAGTTTTTTAACTGGCCTCTAATAATTTCAGAAACATATTAGTAGTACAAATTGAATAAAAAGTTGTAAACCTTTATTTATTTAGGTTGTTGGAACCTTTATTTATTCTAAGGATGAAACAAAATTATTCAATACAGGGAAATCATATAACCATACATAAATATATTAGTACATTCAAATTAATCTGGTACTCTTTATCTTTTAAAATATGTAGAGTATAATCCACCATCATTGTTTAGGTGTTTTAGCTTTTCATTGAAATCAAAAAGTGAATTTGTTTTTGAAAGAAAACCTGTTCTAAAAGAGGTACCAATATAGAAGTCATGTAAAATCGTCCAAATTTTCTTTACTTATTTTTATTTATGTTATTGTTCACAGATAAGATAAAAATGTTATTTAGCTTTTAAAAATTAGCTCTTTTGACTCATGATAAGGATTTGGAATTGCATGGGGAATTAGTTTCTGAACTAAGAAAATGCAGTGTGTCTTTTTAAAGTTTGTTTCGGATATCCAGAACAATTTTCAAAACAAATGAAATCGCGGGTATATGGAAAATGATAAAACAATTGTCCAGAAGTCACCAATATGATTAACTATTACTTACCTCATGGCAGGTATCTTTGTAAAGCATCCTGGCTATATCAGCTTGTTCACTGTCCACTGTAAAAAGAACACACCCACAAACATCTAAATCTTTGTAAATGATATGATGAAAAACAATTGGCAATTGAATTCTGGAGGCCCCATCAGTTTGCAAAACCTGAGTTCCCTCAGTCCCTTCAACCTGATTTAAAGCTCTAATGAGCTAAATAAGCAAAGATTGTACATGCCAAGCCTTCTTCTTTTTGGCAAATATTTTAAAGATCTGCTTGGATATTTCATGGTGTAAAGAAGATTAAATATTTCTGAATAACATTACTAAAAAAGAAAAAAAACATAAGAAAAGATTTGCTGGCTTAAATAAAAGACCGATACCTAGTCTTTGCTTAGCAATCACAGCTGGGACAGCAACTATATTATTAAGTGATGCAAATTACTAAATGAAACATGTGACTGCAATGAATTCATGATCTCACTTCCTCTTTGGTCATTAAGTGAAACATCACATGACTTCAAGTTAAAATTTTAGTTTTGCCTTTTCTATTAACTCTACCTGTTGCACGCCAGTCGTGAAACACACAAATGGTGATCACATGACTATAGGACACTGCAATGTTTACAAAGTCAATGATTGGTTGCCATATGCCGTCGTAACTTTGAATGGTCGTTAACAAGACAGTTGGTAAGGAAGAATTACGTGCATTCCACAAATTGTTCCTACAACATTCCTTGTGATGCTTTTTGGGAAGCCCATGAAAAGTGCATTCTAGCAATAGCAATAGCTTTCAGCCCTCTCTAAGCGGTTTACAGAGTCTACATATTGCCCCCAACAACAATCCGGGTCCTCATTTTNTCATTTCACCCACCTCGGAAGGATGGAAGGCTGAGTCAACCTTGAGCTGGTGAGATTTGAACCGCTGAACTGCAGATAACAGTCAGCTGAAGTGGACTGCAGTACTGCACCCTAACCACTGCGCCACCTCAGCTCCTAAGATTCACTGGCTTGGTTCACCCATCCTTCAATTGTTTTTATATTGTGGTGACCAGAATTGGACCCAGTATTCAAAGTGGTTTCACCAACGCAGTGCCATTTCAATGCAAGTCATTTAACCCCACACTTTTTGCCAAGAAATACAGTATTTTGTAATAGGAGAAATCCTTCAAGATGATCCTCAGTCCGACTGCTAATTTGTTTAACACACCTAAATTGTTAGTTCAGTAAAATGGCTTAGTAAATTAAGGAGTGGAGTTGCATATTTTTCAACCAACAAATGTTATTAAAGGTCAGAAAAGGCACTAAGTGTTTCCCTATTCTTTTTTTTTTACAATCCTAACCTAATAAGAGTGTTCTCTTCCAATTACAACATTTTAGACATGATTGTGCTCGTCTAATTAGTAAATTTAGCAACAGTTCTATGGCTACCCCAGACAGAGTTTCTTCTCTTTGGGAACTGAGAATCTTAGTTGAAAGCTGACTTAAGCTGTACCCTTGTTATGGAGATTGCTTCAGTTATTTCTTTTAGGTATTTGATTTTTTTACTGATGATAATACTGAATGCCTGACTGACTTTTGTAGAAGCCCATTAAGGTTCTTTATCTTTTTGGATAGCACCCAGCACTTAAGAGGTTTCTTTATGAGAAAATGAGTACAAAGAACCAACCATTCACTAGTCCTGGCTGTTTTAAAAAAAAAGGCAATTTCTCTGCTAAAACTCAAGAGGAAATTCTGTAATTCAACTTATATCTAAAAGGAATCTCCTCATCTCTGTAAAGTAAGCCTTTATATGTATGAGTCTGGGAAACTGAAAGACAAGGTGGAAATAACTGAAGAATTAGAGATCTAATACACACTCAAGAAGGGAGGAAACATGCTGGACTGTTTCTAACAGTGGTATACTTACGCATCACAGCAGGTTTAAGTACTCTTTGTAAAGTAGGGATGGATACCCTGGGATTCAAGAGGCACACATATATTGCCAAACCTATTTCTGAAAATCCAGAGCAGGTTACAAACCATGCCTCTGAAATATGATACACCAAAAGAGCAAATTCTAGTGCATGATATTTTTTAAATGGTTACAGGTATATTCAAATTTGAGGAGTCTTACAACACCTATTTTCTGCATTTATCTCCATCGCCAAAAATAACAAAGCAAATACTTAAAAGAGTTTCACCTGTTTTACTGATGCTGCCACATCATATTTCTCTTGCAGGTCTTAATGGCCAGAAACAAAATGGGCCCTCAACACAAAACCATTTGAAAGAACGCAGACAGAATATCCCAAATTTTCCTACTAATTATTTTAAAATAAAAGGAACAAAAAACAAGCAATAGGGAAGACTGGTCCTGGGCATCTAATCATAGTCCAGTATTTCTCAACAGTGGCAATTTTAATATGTGTGGATTTCAGCTGGCTGGGGGATTCTGGGAGTTTAAATTCATACAACTTAAAATTGTCATGGTTGAGAAATACAGTGAAGCATTTTCTTCTACTCCCTTATGTAGCACATGATGTAGGGCAATTCCGTCAAACCCGCAACATATTGTTGTCACATGATGTATCACAACTTTTTCCCACTTCACCAAACCAGGGGTGGGTGTGGCCAGCACGTGATGCATCTGGTTTGCGGGATGTGAGTTTGACACCCCTGGTATAGGGGAAGGTTAACGTTTTGAGCGGCTTTCACACAACATTGATAAGATCCACTTTTTCAAAAATCACAGCAAGCATCAGAGGATACTAGCATCAATATTCTGCTGGCATCAATATATTCCAGAGATAACATATGGATCTGGTCTTATTCTCGAGAAGGATTTCCGAGAAAGTACATAACTAAATATGGTGCACCTGAATGTTTTAAAATGAAATAAAAAGATAAGTTCTCTTGTCTCACCTGGCCCCATGGTTTCAGTTTTTGCAGAAGAAAGCAATACTCTTTATTTCATTGAAAAAAACCATTTTCATAGGGCAGCCTAGTTAATTTCAAAGTATAGTTCGGTGTTTCAGGAATGTTACAAACCATCCCTCAACAGAAAAGCATGGGCCCATATGTGGGCATAGTTCCATGAAATCCCTGGGCCAAATGCTTTTCAGTTGTTCTCTTTGCTGGGAATCTCAGATGGCGTTTATATGAAACAAAACAAACAAACAAAAAAATCCTGGCAGAAAGTATATAATGTTTACTTGTTCCTTCTTCTATCTACCTATTTGATGTATCTACAGTATACAGGTTGCCCAATTCTGAGCCTTTATTTGTCCCAGTAACTAACCATTAGTGCCAATCTTGGTGATCGTGACTGATATTTGGATTATTATTATTGTTATTGCTGCTGCTGTTTTTATGATATTATTGTATTGTACGACTCCTTTTTTATTTGTATCTATATATTTAGATGTATCTGTTTCTGTCTACCTTATATATCGTATTTTTCGGAGTATAAGCCGTACCTTTTTTCCCCAAAAAGAGGGTGAAAATCTCGGTGCATCTTATACACTGAATTTGTGGCATACCGTTTTTGTGAAAACGGCCTGAGCTCCCCCATGTGTTGCGTTTTTGCACTCCCTGGCCCCCAAAAGCACTTTGTAGGCTTCCCAAACTCTCTGCATGCCCCGTTTCCCCCCCCCCCAAAAAAAAAACCCGGGGCATGCAGAGAGTTTGGGAGGCCTGCAGAATGCTTCTGGGGGCCGGGGAGGGCAAAAAAATTTTTTAAAATTTACCTCTTCAAAATCTTGGTATGTCTTATACTCCAGTGTGTTTTATAGTCCGAAAAATACGGTATTTGACAAATACTGCATTTTGGGCATTAAAGGCCATAATAAAAGATTCAGTGATTGACTTCAATGCTTCCAGCTATTAAATCTGCACTATTACTAGACTTAATTGAAATTTGCAACACTAACACCATTGAACAAGTGGTAGTTGCAACGAGCCATTAGTTTTGGCTAGCACACCATCCCTGTGGTTATGTAATCACAATTCAAGTGATTGTGATTTGTAACCTTCCTTGCTAGCTTTCCACAAGCAAAGTCCATTGAAGTCTTCCCAAATGTCTTTGGAAGTCGGGATCACATGAGGTTCTTGCTTAACGACTTGTGCAATTTCCTCCTACTTTCCATAACAGCTTGTTGTGTTAGAAGTGTAGGAAAGAGTTAAAACCATAAAGGTGCTTTGTATGGATTCAGCAATTTTAGTTAACAACGTGTCTATTGAAGCTAAATTCCACTTCTTGTAACAACGTCTCTTTGCGTGAATAAATGTACACAGGTGTACAACAAAGTGCAGGCACTTGACATTATTTACAATTTAATTCACAATGCCCAGGGGGATTTTCTTGTTTAATGGCTGAAGAATGACCCCTGCTTCATTAATCTTCTATTCAATTCTCCTAGCAAAAGCATCTCAGGAAGGAAATGTTTGTATGGAATGACAACAGGAAAACACAGAAAGCGCCTTTGGATTTTTAGCTATTGTGAACTGCCCCTGCCACTTATGGAGGGGAGCAAGATCATTAGGAAGTCCTTTCTAAAGCCCGACTTGTTTCCCCAAATAAATGCATTTGTGAATCAATGATAGTAAAGTCTTACATTGATATTTAAGTACTGCCGACTGAACAAGAGAGTTCCAGAAACCAATTTCAGAGACCTGCTCCTGCCCCCCCACGCAAATAATGGTGATCTGACTGCACTAGCTGTTCCTTTGCTGAATAGCTAGTGCAGTCAGCATTAACTAAAGGCCTTATAGATTATATGCATTGTTTCACTGCTGGGCATAGGCTGGAAGGCTAGAATGACTCACACAGTGTTTCCCAACCTTGGTGATTTCCAGATTCATGGACTTCATCTCCCAGAATTTTAATTCACTACCCATCTGAATGAAAGTGGAATTTGGGGATTTCAAGACCACACACCTGAAAATGGCCAACATTGGGATATAATGGACTAACAGAATAGTGTGTGTGTGTGTGGAGTTTTGGGGCAACTGTCATGAGTCTTGACCCTTTCATACACACTTTTTAAAAGGTGTAAATTTGTAATTTGATGTCAATCAAATCTGGAGAAACAGAAGCCCTAAAATATGTCAAAATTGCCTATAGATATATTGAAAATCAATTGGTACATGAAAAATCCTATCTAGTTTTGCTATACAAATTCCAAAGATTGAATCACAAACTGTTATTCAATGACATCCCCCTGTTGTTTAATTTTGGCAGCAACTGATGCACAATCAGAAGGGGGGAAAAAATCTGATTTCCAACACTTATCTTGCCCAACCAAAGTAGGACTACAGTAGAGATAACTAAGAAAAGTTATTTGCTGCCCATTTGCTTAAATGAAAGAAACAAATGTGGTGTGTTCATGATAATCAGACCATGGTGGAAGCATGTAGAAAGCTGGGTAAGGAGACAGAAGTCCAATTAAGTCTGCCAGATGTGTACAGATGGTGGCTTCTGAACAAAATGGAGGCTCTTTTATGAGTGATAGCTTATTTGGGAACAAGGCCTACTTGTAAGGAAGTCAAGGGAGGAAGGAAAAACCAATAGAAGAGAATATTTGTAGCTCAAGATTGAACTGTGGGGGGCCCTTGGTGCTCTCTGAGCTTGCATGTTTGCTAGCGCTGATGATGTTTCCTTGTTTGGTAATGAAACATCTGTAAGAAAACAACGAAGCTCATAGTGAGGAAGGAAAAATGTTTGGCTTGAAAAAAGGAAAGGAGAACCAAGGGTAATTAAGAAGGGCTCTCACTGCTCAGAAAGGATACAGTGGGAGCAACAATTCTCCCCCGAAGGATTCACCGTTTATTCTTATCATGTGACTTTTACCCCGTTATTGTTATTAATAATCTTTCTCATAAGATGATGTTTTCTACCTGTTAAGTTACAGCAACCGTTCATTCACACATGTTTTTAGTACATTCTTTAGCATATACTATGCGTGTCTAAGTGAGAACGTTAAATAGGAAAAGTAGAAGAGAAAAAGATCTATCAAAATTATCATCTCTTTCTCCTCTGCTATCCCTGTGCAAACTGTATCACTCTCAAAAAAGGATATCCAGATATTATTGGATTTTTTAAAAGGCATTTTTAAAGGGGGCACAAAAAAGGTGATTCTGAATGAAAAGCACCTGATTTCACAGAAACTCTAGCAAAATGTGACAGTTTAATGCGCAACATTTGAATAAAATTGCTTTTCATGAATTTCATCCCACAACATTCACAAACATCTATAGCTTAAAATATAAAGTGAAAGAGAAATAAAGAAAAATTTAGGTTACATTATTTAAAAGTTCTGTTAAGTCACCCTTTTGATTTAAAGGGTGGCAAAAAAAAGTCATTAAGAATAAAATTAATTAGTTAATCAAGTTTATAACTAAGTCAGTTTGTTTATATGTGTACCGTATTTTTCTTAAATCGTACTGCAAACGTTCTGGAGTCCTAACAGAAATTAAGCAGATAAAGCTTACATTTGTTTAAATAACAATCCAGTTGCTGGTATTAGAGAAGAATCAAGAAAAATATTGCACACATCTGGATATGGTTGGGCAAATGCAGAAAGAATTTAACATCCAGGCAAGTAGAAAAAGCCAAAAGTTAAAGCACCAGTCTGGTTTCAAGTTCTATGGATGTTAAGAAGGGATGGACTTGGAAGAGGGGAGGCCTGTGTACATCAAGGCAATTCATCTTGGACTTGTTTTGGCTTAGAGGGGGAGAGCAAAGTAGTCCTGCTAATGAAATGTATGGGAATTAAGCTCCTGTACTATTTTCTTAAGTTACGGCCAAAGTCTGTTAAAGATTCATGTGGAGAATTCTGAAACTCAAAAGTTATGGACAAGAGGATTTTCCCAGTCCAATCCAGCAAAAGATTTAATGACTGCCCCAAGGCAAGGATTATGGGTAGCATGCTTTTATTTTGCTATTTTTGCCCAGACACACCCAGATGTCTGCATCTGCATTGAACATGGAGATTGTCCTTGCAGTAGGCAAAGCTGGATGTTTCTCCTCACCAGAAACTTCTTAAAACTATAAATAACAAAGACCAAGCCTCTATTCAGCACATGAAAGCTAAGAGGTACTCACCCTGCAAACTGGGCATTGCCAGTGACTACTGCTGTCTCTAAGCCTGAACTCATCAGATAAACACTTGGAATGATACACCCGAAAACACAGGTCACATATCAACACCTCTCCAGGCAAATGGCATTCAAAACAATACCAGTCATGAGTTTCTGTCTCCCAGTCCTACAAAAAATACAAAATAATTTGATAGAACAGTCTGTCAATATCTGAAACAGCCATGTATAGGAAAAAAAAGCACATTTCTTGAAGTCTAGCAACGGTTAGGCATTTTAAAATATGGCAGCTCTTTCATGGATTACACCTTTTGTTTTTATTTTAAAATTCCACTCTGTAAACTTCAAGTATGCTAGTAGCTGAAAGATATTAGCATCTAATAAGTGCTGAGGCTTAAATCATGGAACACGAGTGTGTCTGATTAACAGCATATACACTCTTATGCCATGTTTCCAGGCATTCGGATCTTCCCCCCCCCCCCACCTCAAAAGTTTCTTGTCTTACATCCCGTAAAATAAAATTTCAATTTCAATGAAGCCCCGATTATCTTTACATAATTAAATGAAGGCAATGGAACTCCTTCCTTCCACTGCTCTAGGCAAATAAATTGTGATACAGGTGGTCCTCTACTTACGACCACAATTGAGCCCAACATTCCTGTTGTTCAATGAAACCTTCGTTAAGTTAGTTTTGCCCCATTTTACCTTTCTTGCCACTGTTGTTTAAGTGAATCAGTGCAGTTGTTAAGTTAAGGGATCACATGACCCCAGGAACAGTGCAATGGTCATAAGTATGAGTTAGTTGCCAAGCATCTGAATTTTGATCACATGACCACGGGGACGCTGAAATGGTCATGTGAAAAATTGTCATAAGTCAGTTTTTTCAATGCTGTTGTAACTACGAACTCAACTCACTAAACAAATTGTTGCACGTTATGGACTACTTGTATCCCGCCATTTGCTATTCTAGTGGTCTTCTCTTGAGTCTCCCCTAGAGTCTAATATTTTTTCTTCCTGAAAGGGCAAAATCAGTCTCCAGATGTAGAATTCTAAGGAACATAGGGAACCTCGTCAATGTTCATCAAAAGCAGTTTTGAAAAACAGTATCCCTTCTTCTACAGGAGTGGGGTTTTTTTTGAGTGGGAGGAACAGGAGCTGTCACTGCTATTCCACACACAATATATGTCCACGGCAGCTGTGATGTTTCTTCTGACTGCATTCATTTATAAGTAGATTCTACAGTGGATCTTCTCTAACTAGACAGAAGAGCGATCTTTAAAAAGGCAGCAAGGGCTGCTGAGGTCAGAGTAATGTGACGAAGTCCAAAGCAATGCAAATTTTATTTATTTGTCTCTTTGCTCCTCTCTGTGAACCCCCGTTTTTCTATTTTTTCCTTCAAGCACATGCAACGTGCTCAATCATCTGCAAAGGCATGCTGAACACATATAAAAGAAAAATCCCGTCTGTTCCTCAGAATTCACACAAGACTCCATTCTACATAAGTGTCAGGTGAGCAAGAAAATGTTCAGCATCACTTGTGATATCAATTATACATAATGGCCAGTTTTAAAGATTTTTAGCTGGAGGCTAGGACTCTAAAGGCTGCCCTGAGATCACCCAAAAGTACTTTGTCATTTGGTTTTGCTCTGATTGAATTTTATATACGTTCTTATTTCTTCCATTAAAATTTGCTGACCTGTGTGAGAATTTAGAACAGAACAAAGAAATATATCAGAATTGACTCATTAAACAGCTTTTCCAACCTCTAGGGCCCTGCAGCTGTATTGATCTCACAGTCTGCAGAACTCCCAACCTTTCAGAGTGGATGATATGGTTGAATATTCTGCAAATTATAGTTTTAATAAAGACATGAGGTTGTGGGAAACTGCACCAGGCCAAAGCAAACGTTCTTGCAAGAACAGAACACTGCTGCAAATTAAATTTAAGTTGAACGCTAACAAGTTAAAGTTTGCAAACTTACAGAAAGATACAAACAGAGCAGAACAAAAGACAAATCAACTTCGAAATAAGGAAAGTTCAAGCATGATTTTGATTTTCTTTTCCATGATTTTTTTAAACATACCTTTCGCAATTTGATTTCAACGAATCCAAATATTGGACTTAGGTTGTGGTCCTTCAAATGCTTCAACTGTGTAAATGAAGCCTAAAAATACGATTTCTAATAGCAATGCAGAAAAAGAAGTAAAAACTGCCTCTTTCCATCTTACTGGTTTTTTTAATTTTCCTCATAATGGGTATAATCTAGTTAAATGAGCATATTCATTCGTATCGATGTTTCTAAAAAGTATAATTAATTCTGGTGTTCTTCAACTGCTAATGCTCACATAGATTTAGCTTTTACTGTCATATATAAATATTTTGCATCACTTGATCTTAAAGTTGAAACCATGCTCAAGGAAATCTCATCAAAAATATTCTACTTACTGGACAATATCTAAGAGTTATAAGTTACAAATAATAATGAAATAAAAATTCCATAGTAGTGCTTCTCAACCTTAGCTATTTTAAGTTGTGTGGACTTCAAAATCCCAGAATTTCCCAGCCAGTATAGAGGTACTTTTGCACTGTAGACAAAGCAGCCTAATGTAACTACAAAACTAAGACAAATGGTTCTTTGGGAAGATAAAATTAAGTATCCACAAATCGGCAGTTTTTATTTATTTTAAGACTGCCTTGGATGGCAAAAAGTTTTGAACTCATTTGGATCCTTTAAGCTTAAGGATAACTATAGAAACTATAGAAACTATAAGAGATTGAAAGAATGTGAATCTTCCCAAAACCTGCTCTGTGAAATAAAGCACCTCGGAATAAATATTCATTTACATGTAATTTATATGTATTTATAATCATGTGTGGTTTAATTATGCAATTTCTTTAGATGAATTGGAAGATCTTCCGTTAGGCCAAGTAAACAGAAACGACATTCCCTATTTATTATTGGTCTGAGTCCAACCTAAAATGGCCAAAAACTTTTTCAAGCTTTTTCCAGTTCCATTGTAACAGAGAACTATAGCTTGGGGCCTCTACAGAAACAATGCATATTATAATTTTCATTGGTACTGTTCTGTGAAAAATGCATCCTTAAATGCAGAGGACATCACCCATTACAAACCCAAACAATTTTGAGGTGTTTATATTTAAATGATTATGATGCCAGATTCTCACATTTTCATAAGTAAACTACCAGACTTGTTAAAATAAAATCCTTCCAAGAAATGTGTGTGTGTGTGTTTGTGTGTGTGTGTTTGTGTGTGTGTATGTGTGTGTATGTATGTATGTATATACTTACACACACATACTCCTAGACCCATTTAGAGGGATCGTTGATGATATTTGGCACTTGATTTTTCGTTCATCCTTTGAAAGATTCCATTCCTACAGAGATATGTTGTGTATGAATGCTCATTACTTCCCCATCTGTTTATTTTGATATATAGGCCCGCAAAAATATTAAGTTTGATAATGAGTTTGATGATGTAATTACATAGTATTCATAATTAGTAAACTGGTCTTTTATATTTCATCTTCCCTTTCATGCTGACTTCTATCATCAATTATTCTATTGTAAGATATATTCAATTTATAGAATTTAATTTTTTTAGTCGAAGTACATTTCAGAAAAAAAGACAACATGAGTGTTTTACATTACTGGTTGCATTATTTGCCAAAGACTACCAGAACGTTAATTTTAATTAACTTTCTCAAGCAGTACTCTTTTCTTCTTCTTCTTCTTTATGAAAATTTGATTATCCAGAGAAAAAAATCACATTCACGGAAAAGAAGCAATTATGAAATAAAAGATTTTGGCATAATTCCATGACAAATCTTTTATATCAAACCAATTGAAATGAAAGAGAACTACCAAATCTTTTGCTGCTCCAGTTAATTTCAGTGGGATTTCCACATGAGGATTAGTTAACTAAATGAATAAAAAAGCAAAAAGTTGAAATTCTCCACTGTGAAATCATCAATATGGTATAACTAATAGCTGGCCTATTTATATCTTCTCACTATGCTGCATCTCAGCATTTGTAACTCCAACCACATTTATTATTTTGCTCTTTAGCTTTAATGATTTATTTATCGTGAGAGGATTTTTTAGTATATTTAGATGTTTGGTCATTTTTTTCCTTGTAGTTTATAAACAGGATTTATTAAAAAAAAAATAACTCCAAATTCTTATAAACCAGATTTAATTACTTCTAATAAGTAGATGCAAACTGATGTACAGCTTATCTGATCAGCTTATCAGCTTATCTGATGAACTGAAGCTGACCGTATCTATTTGGTTGCGAAGACTAGACAGACAGACAAATATCCACATATTTACTCATTATAAAGTCAACTATGAAGTCACCCCTCAAGTATAAAAGGGTGAAGCTTGGGCTGTGAAATTATAATACAAACTTGGTCACTTTGCTGTTATTGTAGTTAGTTGTGGTCATTGTGGTTAGTGACATATGAATTGGCCATAGTTACATTTCTAGTGTAACCTCTACTTTAATCAAAGTAATTAAAATATTGTGTTTTTTTTAAATTACATGTAACTGAGAAAACAGAAATTTGGAAATAAAATCATAAAGAAGAAAATAAATTTTAGTGTTAATGGAAATCCCACCCCCTCCCCAATCAGTGCAACTTTTGTTTTGCATTTTAGGGGAAAAAACCCACAAAATCATATAAATCTTTGTTCTTTTAAAGCTAGTGTAAAGTTTGGACAAATATTGAAATCTTTGCAGAGCTGGAGATGTACAAAGATATCTGCCACGTAATTTCCTCAGATGAGACAGGAGGCATTTATATAACTAACATCTGGCAGCCACTATTCTAATTACGATAAACATAAAAAATCTCAGAGTACAAATATCTTTTTCTGTATTTGCAAAAGTCTTCCACGAGATGTCATCATATCCTCCCAAAGTAACTGACAAAAGGAAAAAAGAAAGAAAGAAAGAAAAGCATTGCAACTTTATATCTTGCAGCAAAACATGTGAGTGACCACTTCCGTGTCTCCAGGAAGGAGGAAAGAAAATAGTATTTTAACCAAGGTGCTACAAAAGGCAGGCTAATTTCAAGAACCAGATACAACACAGCTGATAAGCATTATTAATTCCATTATTGGAAGACTGGAAAAGCAACATCTAATCTATCTTAATATACAACAGCAACCCAAAAAGAGAGAGATGTAACAGAATACATTTAAGACCTCATAGTGCAAAAGTTGTTCACTTTCATTTTTGCAGTTGTCCGAAAGAAAGGCTGCATGCTGTAAGCCTTTCAAAATAAAGAGAAAAAAATAAAAAAAATAAAAATATGGTCTATGTATTGGAACCCATGTGTGGAACATAAACTAAAACCAAAAGGGGAAAACATCTATTATTGAGAGCACCCTAACTAATCAAATTTCCTCCAAATAAACTTTATGGACTGGTTCCCCCCCTCCCCAAATGTTTTCTAAAAGCTCTATGCTTGGAAGTTCCTGAAAGCTTTCAAGCACTTAACTTAATTAGGAAAACACATTCAAAAGAGGAGGGGGAGCAAAAATGGTTCCATGTTTGTAGTTTTTCAGCTTAGTAAAACAGATTAGCATTCTCAGTTAATAGCCCCTGGGAAGAAAGACATGCTTATATATCAAAATATCCCACAATGGTGTGAAGTCATAGAAAAATCCAAGAAATGGTTTGCTTAGGATCAGGGACTTAATTGTGTCCACAGTTTGTAAATAAAACCTATTATCATTATCACGCACACACCCCTTAAAATATAACTACCATTACTTATGGAACTACTTTTAAGCAATTCCAAAATATATATTATAATGAAAATTAATTTTATGTGCACGAATGAAGATTTTGCAGAATCGGTTTACTAGAAGACATGAAGAAATAAAAAATTATACTGCCCTTACAGAAAGTATTCCATTTCCAACTCTAAAGGAAATGGGGTGGGTGGGTCATTTTATTCTCACAACATATTAATTCTTTGTTAAAAAGAAGACTGACAATTACAAAGTTCAGGTATTCTGGTATCATTAGTATTCTGGTGTCATTAAAAAAAATCTAAATATAACAAGCACACCCAACTTTGAGTGAACATATCTTTCTAACCATGTACTGCGGCCTGGAAGGTATTTTCAATCTTGCGTAAAGTTTGCAATTATGACAGGGAACATATGTAAATTTAATAAAGCCAAGTGGATCTCCATCATGCATAGGGAATGTTGGTTATAACCAAATTTATTTGAGTTTAGGGCGTCTTCAAATTCTGCAAGACTACTCTGATGTTTTATTTCTATTTTTAAATTCTATTAGCTTGGGTCCGTTTTTATACATGCCAGCAACTGGATTGCAGTTAATATATTTATGATTACAGAGTTAAGTAAATCATTAATCTTTTCCTAAACTTAGTTCATGGGCATTAGAAAGCTATCTAATATTAATGAACTTAAAATATATCTCTGTGATTACAAGAAGAACTGATAATACTTAAAGGTCAGCAACAAGGTGGTTTGGACAAATAAAATTTCATAACAAATAATGATGGAAACGATGGTTAAAAAAAACCTGATGTAATCTATAGTGCTTTTCTACAATCAAGCTGAAATTTGATGTTGCTTTTGGTAAAGGGACGAGATCAGGCAAATGTTTAGAGGAGGTTTCAGTCATACAAAAACAAGCTTTGCTAAACTAAAAAATATGCAAATCAACCCATTACAGAAGCTACGCACAACATGTAACATTTTTCATTTCTAAACAACTTAATTATATGAAGCCAAGAGATGCAAGATATATTAGGGCTGTACCTTTAATAAACAGAAATCTTAAAATGTAATATTTAAATGTAAATGAGAAGAGAAAGTATCTCCCATTCTCACAGATTTTAAAAAAAAACATATTCAAGTCTTTTAATTAAGAACAGAGTTGTGCATATTTTACAATTTATGCAATGCAAAAATTAAACTGACTGCAGAAACTGAAGCTGAGAATCTTAATTCATTAAATCATTTTGTGCATAATGAAACTGTTGAAAATACTGTTGAAAACTCAGTTAAGATTTACATTAGTAAATGGGCAGCTACATTTCCAAGCCATATAGCGCATAATAGCCTTTGGAGGGACCAGTTGTAGCACATTCAGTATGAAAATCTGAGCACATGAACATTCACTTGATTTATAATCAGCTTTTCTATGTGAAGAATTTTGACTAACTTGGCATAAAAATCCAATTTATGCATGCAGTAGAAAATAAACACAACTCTGGTTACATGCAGTACACGGTAAAGGTTGCCCCGCACATGCGTGCTGGTCATTTCCAGATTTAGGGGCAATGCTCATCTCCGTTTTTTAAACTGAGGAGCCAGGTCTGTCCGAAGTCATCTCCGTGGTCATGTGGCAGGCATGACTAAACTGTGAAGGCGCACAGAGTGCTGTTACCTTTCTACAAAAGTGGTCTCTATTTTTCTATTTGCATTTTTACGTGCTTTTGAACTACTAGGTTGGCAGAAGCTGGGACAAGTAATGGGAGCTTACTCCGTTATGCGATGCTAGGGATTCGAACTGCCGACCTTCTGATCGACAAGCTCAGCGTTAGCCAACGCATCCCTACGTGCAGTAAACCTTCTATCATATATGATATTGTTTAACCTAGTATTTCAGTGTTATTCTTAAATCTAGAATCTGTAGTTGTACTCAACAGCTTTATGTTGAGTACAACAACTTTTCAATGCACAATACTATATCTAAGGATATTTAAACTAGACAAAGAACATCTCTATTAAAATCTTCTACCTTATGTATTAAAAATGGCATTTATATTATAATGTGCCAATATGCCTCTTAATTTAATTTGTAAGAGCTAAAAACTCTCCTTAAAAACTGAATAGAAACATTTTTAAAAATATTTTTTCCAGTGTATGCTTGAGTTATCCATCTCTCAAGGCAAATGATTTGCGAATAAATTTACAATCTAAATTTAGGATTTCATGCTTACATGACCAAATTTAATTAAAAACAAAGTTAAAATAGCTATCTTTTCCAATCAGGCAGTGTCTCAATAAAATAAGATTTCATAACAATTACCGATGTACTGCTATACCAAATGAAACTGTAGCAGTACTAGGTAAAAAATCAAAACAAAAATGTAAAATCACAGTTAATGTCTTTCTACTATATATTACCCAACTGATTAACAGTAACAATGCATTTCCAAGTTATTCAGAATAACTAACAATTAAAGCATTACATCTATAATCAATGTCATCATCTTGAGGATTTGCTATAGAAGGATTTGGAGCCCCCCCCCCCCCCGCTAGTGTTTGTGGCTTTTCTAAATCAACTGAAGGACAGGTGAAAGACCTTGAAATAATTAATTTAACAGTATGTCCTAGCCCATGCTAATTTTTCAGATTTATATGAAAGTAAAATTAGTTGTCTTAGTATAAGCCTACAAGCAAATGAAGCTTCCTAAACTTGGGCTTTAGAAGATACCCTGACACCAATCTGCGAACATTTTGTAAAGAAAAATAACTTTCTGAGGTTTTCAAAATTAAAAACTTTCAAGTTACAGGTAATCCTCGACTTATGATCACAATTGAGCCCAATATTTCTGCTGTTAAGTGACACATTTGTTAAGCGGGTTTTGCATCATTTTAAGACCTTTCTTGCCACAGTGGTTAAGTCAATCACTGCAGTTGATAAGTTGGTAACCCGATTTTAAGTGAATCTGGCTTCCCCATTGACTTTGCTTGTGAGAGGGTCACAAAAGGGGATCACATGACCTTGGGACACAACAACGATCACAAGTATGAACCAGTTGTCAATCATCTGAATTTTGATCATGTGACCATGAGGATGCTGCAAAGGTTGTAACTGTGAAAAACAGTCGTAAGTCACATTCTTCAGTGCCATTGTAACTTTGAACGTTCACTAAGCGAACTCTTGTAAGTGGAAGACTACTTGTATCCTATTGAAACATGGTTGCTGTGGATTAAAATAACAATACTCAGTTTATACTGAAAGTGTTCCTCTTCCACTTATTTCTGAAATAAGAAGCAGGACCCACAGGACAAAATCTGGGTGCTGAACTTTCTCAACTGGAATGCCAAATATTTTTTTTTCCACAAACTGTTTTGGACTGCATGTCTTCGATAAATACCTTAATTGCCATGCTTTGAAATTAATCTATTTCTAAAAATGTATGTTTATAAATATCTATATTCATTAGGCTGTATTTTTAAGAATATACTTAATTCACCTCTGAAGCTGTTTTGCGGGTAATAATTACCTATTCTGTGCTACTTGAATGCCTACAGCTAGATGAGGTAATTAAGAAACCAGCTTTCTACCTCTTTTTACATTTTAAAAGCAAAATGTAATGTAAAAAAAATGTAAATGTAAAAATAATTTTATTTTTGTTCTTTGTATTTTTCTGAGACTCTGCACCCAGGCTGGTACTAAGAATTCCAAGTCAACGTTCCAGGAAATGGTGATAGAAACACTTATCAGAAAATATACTCACAATCTCATCCCCGGGCAGCCAGTATCCCTCTTGCTCAATGCCAGCTTTTGAACCTTTGCATCCCACTGTCAAGGTTTCGACCACAAGGCCATCCTTCACCGCTAAACTAAGCTGACGTGTGGTCTCCTTGGGATGCATACCGTGAACCCGAGACATATATCTGTGAAGAAAACAGAAGCATTTTTTTTACAAAATCATCATGAGTTATCTGGATGTCTTTTGTCGTCTTGAGTTCAAGAATTTCAAAACTACATAATAAAGTTTGGCTTTTTTCACTTCTATTTATTTTAATATCTCTTAACGTTTTGCGCTGAATGTACATTATCATCTGCAAAAGGTTAAAGCTCCCCTGAATAAAAAAGACAGAATACATAGAATTAAAATCTATTAAAATCTTAAAATTTTAAATTCAAGTTTTCCCAAGCCAGATCACAATTTAATTAGCTAAGCAAAGAAACAAGTCAATTTTGGCAACACTTTTCAATGCAAAATAATGTGCATATCATGGTGCAGATCGGGGTTCCCCTCCCCCCCAAGAACATTTAGTCTTTGCTTCAAGGTAAGATGGTGAAGGAAGGGACAAATTGAGAAACCGCATAGTACTTTTCTTCTTATTTAATCACTGCTTATCAAGTATACATTCAAGGCTGGAGAGGTCATGCCAACCATTTTGAGAGCCACAGATCTCAGCACAGAGGGCAAGGACTACCAAAAACAACTAGCACAATAAATTCTATCGAAGGACTACTGATTGAGAACTCATTCCACTAAATCAGTTGGGACTAAAGAAAGAGGGAGCCATCAAAATCTTTACTGTAATTCATTAGCTAGATAGCCACTAAAAGAAAAATGGGAAACCAACAAATAGCTACAGTAATTCATAACTAACTGTATACGAGCCATATGTTCGGTACTATCTGCTAAAGTGTTTTAACATGCAAAATATTTATACATTTAATTTTTCAGATTTTTAGGCTATCCAACTCCAAAATGATTCTGGGATCTCCATGGAGTTCAAACAAGCAATAACACTATCCTATCCTATCCAGAAGTGGGTTACTACCGCTTCACACCGGTTCGGGCGAACTGGTAGTAGAAATTGCGACTGGGTCGCCAAACCGGTAGGGACAGCAGGCTCGCAACACCCCCAAACCTCTTCCCCAGCCACCACAACATGGTTTTTTGACATTTTTAATGTTCCGCATATGCACAGACTTATTTACAGGCAAATTGCGCACGCACCAAATTGGCAGTAATGCCAGCAGTTATATCCTATCCTATCCTATCTTATTATACGCTAAATTACATTATCCTGTCCTATTAAGTTTCTAGTTTAGAAACCAGAAGATTAAAGTTAAGTTCAAAAGCTTCACTTTGAGCATCAAAGACAGCTGGATTTTGAGCCAGTCACTCTGAGCTAGTCCAACTTACTTCACCGTATTGTTATTGTCAGGAAGAAGTAGTATTTATATTTGTCGCCTTGACTTACTTATATGGACGTCCATCTTAAGCAACTCCATAAATCAATAAATAAACAATCAGAAGTAAACAGAAAACCAAAAAACTCTTCTACTCATAGAATCCCAGCACCTTAGTAGAAAACTTAATAGCCTTTTAAGGGTTTCTAAGGCTGGGCTATGAAATTGCCAATGAGGCTATGTTCTACTAGGTAGGGGTAGCTATGAAAAAGCAACGCTTCCGAGGTCCCACTAGATGGCAAGATTTTAGGTAGGAAACCTCCAACATGCCCACCCTACCTGATCTAGTGAGATAAGCAGCTATTCTGTTGCAAATAGGTACTATGCCATGAAGAACTTTAAAGAAATAAACAGCATCTTGAGTTGCAACCAGAAGAAAAACTGATAGCCAGACCAGGTCATGCAACAAAGGTGTAACATAAGCAAACCAATGGACACCCAATACTGCGTGCACGCTGGATCAATTGCAATTTCCAAGTGGTTTTTGAAGGCAGCTGTATATAAAGCACTACAATAATCCAACCATGAGGTGACTATAGGATGAGTAACATTGAGTCACTCTAGTTCATGAAAGGGAGAAACCGGTGCATAAGAGAGTCTATGCAAAGGGCCAGCATAAAGGTTGACACTTCTTCATCAAGCAGGAATTGTGAGTGCACACCAGCATAGCCTAAGGCAGTGCAACTGTCACAACCCCTCGCAGCCCTGATGAACAGCTCCCCTCAAAACACTTTCAATGGAACACTGAGGCACAACCTGTTCTTTAGAATGCATTGGGACTCTTGTGAATTTATAAAATAACAGCAAATCTTTACAATATACGGTATATATCTTCTCTTACACACACACACATACATGTCCTTTCCAATTAGGCTGGCAGACATTAATCCCAAGGAAGGAAGCTACCAAATATGCATCCCAGACAACTGAAAGAGTGATTGAGTGGGTGGGTTTCAGGAACTCTTTCATCCTTGCTTGCTTTGCTTTGATTGACAAAGCTAGTGGCTATTACTGGTTAATTTACAAGTCTGGTATCTATTGACTGAATTTGAGTAGAGGTTTTCCATGTGCTCAGGCTCAACTTCTTTTGTCTGGTTCAAGTGACATTTTTCCTGTTTCTTTAACAACTTGATTCCTTTTTAACTATCTCCCAAAGGGATTGGTTTGTTTGTTTTTTTTGTAAAGATCCCTGGCTTTTGTCTACTGGTTTAAAAGTCTTCTTTGTTAGGTATGGCAACTTCAGCCTAGACTCATAGAATTCTGTCCAGAGTCAAATATGACAAAGCAGCAAAACTCTGGGGACCAATGCCCAGAACCAAGCCATCCTGCCATGATGATATCGCACCCTTACTGTAGGATGACCTCACCCAGCAGTTTCATGCAGATATTAAATGTGGGTAAAAAGACTCAATGCCTACCGCATGCTATATGAAAACCCAGCACTTGTCTGAGGGAATAATCTATCATTTTTCTCCAATTGAAAAGGACCCATGTGATACCGCTTATCCCAAGGCCTATGAAATAAAATTAGTTTTTAAAAATTGCTCCAAAGTAAGGCAAGAGCTGTTCCAAAAATCAGATGCAGAAGCAGAAATGGCCTACTTCCTAGGAGCCATTATATGATGATGCCTAATTGACAGAACCAAAGTAAGCCAGCATCTAATTCTAACAATATTGAAGAAATCTATACCAGTTCCCTATTCGGCTGCTGGTTTTAAAAACTGCCATGTTTTACTCTCCTCTATTAAGCCTCCTTTGCAAGGATTGGGAGTCTCTGTTCACTCCAGTTCCTTAATGTGTACCAATTTCTTCTAGCCTACCTTATTTATTTTATAACCTTGCAATCTTGAACTTGTAATTTCTAGGTAGCTTGCAAAATGAAAATACAGAATATCATTAAAAACTATTACAATGCATTCAGAGCCGGTTCACAACCAGAATCCTCATATATGTCATACTTCCTTAATAGTCTGACCCCAATGCTGAAGAAACCAGGGCTTCAAATCTAAGGGCTAATAGCCTTAGGCTCTTCAAAACTCAGGGGACACTGATCCATACCACAAGAGCTATGAGGGAGATGATAGTTATTTAGTTTGGGTAGTAAAACATCTGCAAGAAAACAACCACAGTCAGAGAGCACCAAGGACCTCCCAGAGAAGGCATACTTCCTCAATCCCATCAAAATGAGAGTTTCATGGAATGGAATTGAGCGCATTCATCCTGCTATATCTGATGGGATGCATGGATATAAGTAGGAGTAGATGGCTCCACCAATAGCTTGCCTACTATATATGGCATTAAGGCAGGGGTGTCAAATTCGATCCTACTGCAGTCCGTAATAGGATTTTGTTTGCCCTTGGGGAGCTGGGAGGAGCATGGCTGACTGGGTTGGTGTGGTCGGGGTGAGCCTGGGAGGGGCAGCACAGATTGATCCTTCGCCTTCTCCGGGACAGCCGCACAAGACAATCCTGGGCCTGTCATGGGCCACATCTGGCCCACATGTTTGACACGTCTGCTTTAAGGTGATAAACTGGGTGCTAATTCTGGCTGAGGGACTGCAACTCCATTCAGAATCAGAAATGAACTGGATGGTTTGAGTTGAAGCCCATCCATACTTCACAGTTTCTAGACACTGGGAAAACATCTTGACAGCATCACTTGAAGAACCTGTTGTAGAAAAATAGTTTACCGTATGCTGGTACGGTTACCTCAGCTAGTAGATTCATGTAAGGTAAATTGAGGTGGAGAGAGAGTAGACTCTGAGATAAGAGCTGGACTTCTCCCCCCACTGGATACTAACTGAAGCCAGCTCTGGAAGGAGAAAAATCACGTTAAGAAAGTGCCTCCCACTCCAAATTCCCTAAAGTCCAAAAGTATCCAAAAATACTATGACTGATGGAAGTGAAAAAGAAATCAAAGAAGACCAAGATGGATGTGCTACTCATGTCCTGTACCTGTTAAGACATCATCCACAAGTATCATTAGGGCTATTTTCCTCATCTTCATACCACCCTCTCAACATGAAAAATTTCATTGGATTCAGTGATGACCACTTAAGGGAAAAACAAATCCTCCATTTTTTTCCAAGGCAGGCAGAACTAGCCCTTCTCAGAGAAGTATTCACTACTACTTAGATCCAATGACATGTCACTCCTTCGAGGCTTTGACCAGCCATGGCACATGGATTGAAAATACAAGGCAGAACATAGTGTTCCAATGATGCAGATCATTTCTTTATAACTAATATACTCAAACTCTACTCAGATAATGAAGGTTATCTCTTCGGACCTACCCAGCTAAAATAAAACTCTGTGTGGATCCAAGAGACTTTATCTGCCTAGATCTGGAGAAATCAACTGCACCTAGAATCAGTTGACACACAGAATATTTTTATTCCAATGAGCAAGGAAACCCAAAGATGCTTTTTCAGGAGGCAACTGGACTTTCTTGTTTTTTCTTTTGAAGACATTTTGCTTCTCATCCAAGAAGATTTTTCAGCTCTAATAGGATAGTGGGGAATCCTGACTATCCTATTAGGATAGCTGAAGAAGCTCCTTGAATGAGAAGTGAAACATCTTCAAAAGAAAAAACAAGAAAGTCCAGTTGCCTCCTGAAAAAGCATCTTTGGGACAACCATGAATTGGATGACTGAGAATCTCTACAAACTCCAGAAAGAGGTAAA